GATAAATTCTTTTTAAATAAAAATTCATTATTGAAGGATTAATCATAAAAAGAGCATAAAAAAATATTAAGTATTATTTGATAAAATAATATAAATTGGACATTTTATGATTCTTAAAGTTTTAACTTTTAATATTTTATAAAATCATAACTCCCGAGAAAGAAATTTTTTTTATAATGGAACTGGAAAATTCTAAAAAAGAAAAAATAGAGATATAAAATTAATATTCCCAATATTTTGCATTTTTTCTTCTTTTTTATGTATTTTTCAATTATTCATACTGCATTTTCTCTTTTTTCAAACTTCAAACTCAGTCTACACAGTCTAATCTATTTTACTGTCGCACAATGTTACAGCTATTGCCTGTCTAATTCTGTTACAACCAGTAAGTAAAGCTATTAATAGAAGAATATTCATCGAATATTTATGGCACGCACATTTTACAATTGCATTTTTTATCACAAATATAATTTTGTCGGCACATTATTTTATAGATGAAAAAAATATATCAACACAGTATTTCATCATAACTAATTCTTGAATAAAATATTTCAAAGCATCCTTATTTTCGATCGACTGTCCATAATCGCTATCGCTACAATGTTTATGCTAATCTGACATTCGTGATTCTCGACAAATCCACTGGCAAGATATCATGATCGAGCATCCAATGGCTCTCAACAATCTATTGTACAGAAAGTGACTATATTCAACGGATTTCGAGGAAATTGTTACATCGCAAATCCATAATCGTATATAAATCCGATATCCGTAGAACAAAGCAGATAAAGCAATCGGTTAAATATGCATGACTGAACGACTGCACAACTCCCAGATTCTCTAATCGGGTCAAAGATTCAATCCACCCAACAGAAAAATACAACTCGAGCAGAAATAACGAACGGAATAAGCTCTAAAGGTTTACATGTTAAAAGTTTTATATTTCAAAAATTTCTGATTTCAATTTCAAGTGTCTGAGTTTATTTTCTTAAAATAAATATTAAATTCGTTCTTAACAAATCATTATTGCATCTATCAATTACAAAATTGATAATTATTAATAAATATTTAAATATTTAGTATTATTATTAATAACTGTTATCAATATTTTGTTTATTTAAAAACAATATTTATAAAAATTAAGTCTATATGTCTTACAATTATTCAGAATAGATAAAATTAATGAGAAATTAATTTGACTTATTATATTGTCTTATTATCTTTATGAACATATTTCATAATAAGAAATAATAATAACAAATATCGTTAATGCGACACAAAAAGAGAAGAACACTGTTAAATAAATAACTATTAAATAACAAATATTACTACAGAAATGTTACAGCTTTAATTCTGCGTTCTCGTATGCATTTTGTACTAGTGAGAAGAAACAATATCAAATTGTTAAAAGAACTAAATCATCATCGATGTGAACACTGCTATGCCATATCGAAAATTGCATTCGTTTAGTCGTGACGCTTCAAAGAGAGTACGTTAAAATCCAGGTCATTTCCCGACATTTGAGACCAGAAGAAAAATGAAGGGAAGGTATATGGAATGCAATCATCCCTAGAGCGAAGCTTTGATAGCTTTCAGGAGCTAACCATTAACACGTACATGGGATTTTACAGTCGATATCTTGAAATATTTCTCATGGCGAATGGAATAGATGAAATATGCTCCATAGAAACATAACTAATAAATAAAAACAATTTTTTTAAAAGTTTAGTATACCAATATATTTATTATTTGTTCATTCTGATTATTCTTTAAAAAAATCAATTTTTCTATTATTTTTATTCTTATACACGATGTAATGATGATTTTTTACTCTGCTATTTGATTAATGTTCAAATTGCATCTTCAAATTTTCGATATGCATTAAAGATACGTGTAAAATATTAAATAAATTTATTAAGCAACGTGAAGAAACTCGTAAACGAGAGAACAATTTTTAATATTGCTTAACAAGGCCCTGGAACAAACGATCCTTTTTATCTCATCGTCTTTTTCTCTTCTTCTCCCTTTTTATTTTTTTGTCTCTCGAGGCGCTAAAACCAATGGAGAGATCCATTAATGCTTCAATGCTTTAAAGCAGATGTCGCCCTTACTATTCTTTGTCTCGATACAATTACTTTTTTGCCGTTTAATTGGTTCGTTAACAAATCGTACATTACAAGCAATAAAAATGAGATTTATTATAGCTTATTCATAAGCGATAACAAATTGAAGAAAAACGGAGTAAATTATTAGCAAGACAAAGGTATAAAAGTATGCAATATTATTATTTATTTGTCTTAAAGGAAGATATTAAAAAATTGGCAATAATTTCTTATTCGATATAGATTCTTTCTTACTTATTTCTTACAATTTAGTTCTATTAAATAACCCATATATGCTCAATATAATAATTTTATTCCTTTTATTGTATTTAAAATAAAAAATTAGAATAAAAATACATATGCTGTATAATTTATCAACTTATTAATAAAAAATTTTGAGTGTCTCTTATCTGAAATGAAATTTAATATCAAACCGAAAATGTGATCTTTTTATATTTTCAAAAAAATCATGTATGTCATTTTTTATAATTAGATATGAAACTATGATTAGAAACTTTCTTGTTTCATTAAGTATAAAAAAAATAAAAATTAAAGATTCCTCTTGTTAATCGTTTATTTAATAATGTTCTAACCAATGATTAATGATATAAAGATATTCGTATTTAAGTTACATATTTCTAGTAATATTTTAAATTAAAAAATTTAAAAATATTTCCAAAAATACATATAAGTAATACATATAAAAAGATATTAAGAAGTCATAAATTGTTATAATGGCATACAAAAAATAAAATAAACTAATTATCAAATTTCCGTTAAATATTATTATATAAAATTTGCTTGCTATTTTCAATTTCTAAAATAATTGTTATTCAAAAATTTTCAGTTTTGATCAAATAAACTTAAATGTAATAAATGCATTTGTTATCATTATATAGTTGGAGAATTTTATTTAATGAAGAGAAAAGTGAGTAAAATTTCACACACACACACACACACACACACACACACGGAAATTTCTTTTTCTATTTCCCATTTCGTGATGGTGCGAGTATTCATTGAAGTTGCATTCGTTTATTTTCAATAATTATACCGTTAAGTGAACTCTGGCTCGCTCGGTAGTCACGAAATTTACGAGCGTACGCCAGTTTCTCGGGGGAGTGTCAGCCAGTTTGGATATCGATTGACAAACAGGACCTCTTATTAACCATCCCACCGTGATATCTGATCGAAAAGCATCCGCTGACAGATCCGTCGACGGAAACCCATAGATAAATCTATGCGAGTTCTATACCGTTGATTAATAGAGCTTGGAGCTATCACGACGTTTGATGATGATAGAAACGCCATAATTTTCCTAATATCGATGTATGCAATTATGTTAATCTACTATATCTCGTGCTTTGTAGATTAATAATAATAAATCTAGAAAGAAAAATGTAGAATTGATACTTTTCAAAATCTTTCTCAAATAAAATTTAGAATCAATTTTAAAATGCAGTTTTCCTAGCAATTTTTTTACTTTTATTTTGTGTATTTTCAAATTAAGAAATTTATAATCATTTAAAATATTAAAATAATAAAAATGTTTAGAAATATTTTATAACATAGTATAATAAAATTTTGAATATCAAATTAACAATAAAACAGAATTTATATCTATTAAATATCTATTAAAAAAATATATATATTTTCATCCTTAAATATCAAATATATTTATGTGCTAATAAATAATTATCATTAAGAATCGTAAATCAATGCAGTCTCTAATTCCGAAGCTAAACCACAAAGCAATAAGATTAATCCTGGGATTAATTACAATGAAGATAATATTCTATTTCTCATTTCTCATATATGCAAGTATTAACTAAGAAATGCAAGTATTAACTAAGAAATCTTAGCAGTATATCTTAGCAGAGAGTAACAAGAATACTTAGCAAACATCGGTATCAGATACCATGCTAAGATAATATCTACTTCATCATCCGATATTTATCAATATTTTTCAAAATTATTATTTAAAATAATAATAGTTTGTTATATCATACAATAAATTATTAATCAATAAAATATTATATCAAACGTGTGTACTTAAAGTAAAAAGTAAAAAATAAAGTAATTATAAGGGTAATTATCTATTATTGATAATAGTTGTACTTATCCATCTCTTTCTTATTATTAACTACTGCTTAGTATTGTGCTGTATACATATTTATTTCCGTATACATAATAATTTCTATAATATATAATATACTAATTCGACCAAATTATTAATTTAGAAATCAATTTTAAAATTATTATAAATACAATACAAATTTTCAGTACATTTGTTTTATATTTTCAAATGTGAACCTTAAATTTCTAAATTTTTAAGATTTCCACATACTTGTTTTATACATATATAAAAACGAAATTTACTTTCACAAGCTGCAATACTCAATCATTCACAAGATGGAGAACACAATCTCTGCTTATTCCATTTTCTTTTAAGGATATACTTGTACGTTCCAATCTCTTTGGTGAATATCTTTAAATAATTATATTAATTATAAAATGAAAATAAATAAATAATTTTACAAATTTAAAAATGCCAATCTATAAAAAGTTAGATATTTTCTCACCCGCTCAATACTACTTTGTATCCTCTATATGTAGATGTTTGCATAGCTTTATCAAGTAACTCATATAATTTTGTCACTGATTCATCGGCTGACACATGTACTAAATATATAGTACTACCAGATAAT